AAAAAACTTAGGAATCAAAAACTACAAAGCCGCCGGAGTTGGCGTCACTAAATTTTCTCCACTGCACGATAAAGTGTTAGAAGAGATTGGAAAAGAAATAAAGAGAGAACTAAAGAACTACTCAAAAGATCCGACGAACACGTACAAGTACCGAGGAGAGTTACAGAAGCCTGCTGATTTCCAAAATGACCATTTGATTAGAGAAATCCAACAAAAAGCAGCCAACTTGCATTGCCTTGTTTCTTCGTCATTTCCAAGGAACAAAAAAGTACAGAACGCGAAAAACAAGGAGGCATTGATCTTTGCAAGCATTCTGAATCCATGGATTCCAAACTCTTATTTTACATTTAAAATTAACACCATTCTAGTGCTTGGAGGTTGTAAGAAGGAGGAGATGGGCTGTTTTAACAAGCTAGGCCTCGCAAGCCATCCTAACACCGTGCGAAACATGCAGAAGAAAGCATGCTTTGCTTTCGACAAAGCTGCGACGAACTGGAAAGAAAGAGATAGTAACACGCGAGAAGAAGATTCTTTTCCTAAAACAAGTTCTCAACAGACACTCAGAAACAACCTCTCAAACTGACGATGGCATGGAAGTGTGCACGATTGATTTTTCTAGGAAGGCTTTTTCTTGTTGTGTGAATTTCTCCGACGCCGTGTATACATCTTGTAAAGAAATGCTGCCAGAATGTGCCGTTGATCAGTTTGAAGACACAGATATAGCGTCTGCCGTAAATACTCTTAAAGGAAAACCGTTGCCAAAGTTCAGGTAACTTTTCGAACATAGCGATAGTTCGTATGGTTTCATTGATTTTTTGGTATTTTAGGCCACGCCCAAACAATGTTTTGTTATTCAGCCATCCGTCTCAAACAAAAAAGTGCGTCGGTCGGTTGGGCAAACAGAGAAAGAAAGATATAAAATGTCCGCATAAATATTCGCGGGATGAATCTGTTTAGACTTTAGGAAAGCTCGTTTTAAGAGGGAAATAATTCATAAAACGTAACTGCTTTAAAAAGCATTGCAGGAAAACAGTGTTCACTTTAAATAAGGAAAACCAAAGGATGTAATCTTATTCTCCTGAGTTACCGGTATTTTCACATGATTTTTTCCTATTTCCAAAAAAATAGCTTGGTCGGGCGATGGCAAATGAAACATCTTCTGGGCACAGTGAAACAGACCGACATTTTCATTCACCATGAACAACATAAGTTAGGGGATAAATTTATTCTCACATTTTTACACTTTTGTATTTCTCTTTCTGCTGGCTATTCTGTAGGAAAGCAGATAACTGGCAGAGAGGGCTTGAATGCAAGGCAGGAATGACCCCTACTAGACTTGATTATGCTGCGTCAGTGAACTGAATAGTACACTCCTTATGTTGACACCTTACATGCTCTGCTTCTCTTTGGTTGACACAACCCTCCTGCCCTACAATGTTAGAGAGTTCTAAAATTAAACATAACTGTTTTAACTGAGAATGAATTTTATTATTAGCAAACAAATTCATTTTGCTGGGCACTTATTTTGTTACAATGTTTTCAATACATTTTTTTTTCTGATATTTCTTTCTCACATCTTCATGTTCTCCTGCAGGGTTGTGGTTGATCACTGAGATCTAGAAGTGAAGGCAAGCTACCAGACCAAGTCCCAGACAAACAAGTCATTGCATTATTTCCATGCATATGCTGTTAAAGACAGGGTTGTTGGTAATGGCATTGAAAACGAAGAACAACAAAAAAGCATAGATGAGATCGAAATGCAGGAGTTCCTAACAACACCTGAAGTGCAGGAGGCGATAGCATCTGATTCAACAAGCATAATCACAAGAATCATTTTTAAGTACCTAAAACCTTAAAACAAATTCAAGGGGGCTTCTATATACCACATTCCACACCAGTACTCTAGAGAGATGCAGGAAAAATCAGAAGTGGTATGTTTTGGACAATTATTGTGAGGTCAAAAAATAACAATAATAATGTCAGAAGTCAAATTAGTCACTTCTTCTTTCACCGAAATTTTTTTCCTACCCTTTGAGCCATGCTTCACACTACAATCCCTTATAAATGATTAAGGTATAGACCTTCCTCTATTGCTGCTTTTATTATACTTTATCTGTCAGTCACTAATACTTGTAGAAAAGGACCTTTTTATTGAAGATGCTGCTCTCTGGTGGATAACAAGAAAGGGTTGCAAATGAAAACTGATTCAGGCTAGAAAAAATGAGACCTTTTACCTTCTACAACTAAGCTACCTCCTCCCTCCCACACAGCTGTGAAATGCAAATGGCACTAGGTTTGATGTAATGTATTAAGGTGAAACTGTACTGACTATATGTTTATATATATTTTACAAATAATTATCAGTGTCCACTTGGTCTGCAATTTCTAAACCCCAACAAAGCTGGAGAGATGGCTTAAATAATGGAAG